CTGCAACATCCAGCAAATTATAACATAAATGTGATCGACTTATTGTGAAATGAAAACGAGGCATCACGTGACAACTATTTACACGCGCATTAGAACAGCCTTATTTAAATAATTTGATGTAGGCCAATTCGTCTGACAGGCATAGATATATAGGAGAAAGTACACCCAATTTCATTTTTGATTAGTAGACTAGAAATGATTAACATGCTTGTATAGAATACGCGGAATGAGAAATGTTGGAAAAATAATTAAGTCAAGCTGAAGCGGCTTTCTTAATTTCCCCCAACATATATTCTTACCCTCGTTATACCATCCCAATACGTTCACACAGGTTGATTATTTCTTAATTTAAGGATTGTATTTGATATAAAACCATTTTCAGTTTAATCTTGAAGTTGCCGTGTAATGTTTGCATGTGATGTTAATAAATCACAGGCCACACAAAATAAGTTATCGATACGTTCTATAAGCCAATACACAAATGCACAAACAGGTAGATTACTTTCTTTTGTTTTAATTTTATATAAAGCAAAGGACACACTTCTGAGATAAGGCATGATATGTCTTTCTACAGAATGTTTATTTTCTTTTATGTATTTGAAATACGCTCAAACTTGTACAGACGTATTTCTCGAAGAAAACATGACTCACCGCAGAAAATATTTATCAAATACATTCACGAGAGTGCAAGGTCAGAAGTTATTTTGTGAAAACAAGATAGTCGTTATTACAATGTTTTGTTTAGAAATAGGAGCATTGTCTACACGTGGTTAGATTGGAATTAAAACAAAATGATAAAAACACATCTCGTCTGTTCTGTTTGATAGTTATTATTAGGCCTAGACTGACTTGAATAAGCGTCTAGAGGCATGTTTAGACAAACGAACTGAGGAGATTTTAATCAGTAACACCGGAACCGACATGAAAATAAATTATGTCTTCAAAGACCGTTTGTACGTACATATAATGGTATCCTATCGGGAATCGAGGAGACAACCTGGATACAAGATGACATCATCAATATCGGCCTAATACACGAAAACAAACGGAGACAACAGTCAAAACAAAACCAGAGATGAAATAAGGTGCCCCAAAAGTCTCCTGTCGAACAAAAACGTCATCTACATCTTACAGGGAACTTTGATACGTCACGGTCCTCCCTAAAAGATGAAGTTCGTTAAACCTGTAAGTGGCTGAAACAATTCTTTAAAGGACTCCACACGATACTGGTCAAAAGTTTCCTCCAGTCGTTGATCATGGTATGTCGAAAAAGCTGGCTTCGTAAAGGCATTGTGAACTGTGTGTATTTCAAAGCGTCCGCAAAGATGAACGAAACGCAAACGTCGTTACCACTTCCCTAGACATTACAACAGCACGGGCATGCATCCAGGACTTTTTTGACGAAAGATGGGGCCATATCTAATACATATCTTTGTCAATACTTTATAAAACCTCTAACTTCCGTTTTAATGGTGGATTAAGACATATTCTAATGGTAAAACCCTCCTCCACGGTATTTTATCTCAGGAGACCCATTGGAGCAAACGGCCATGTTTGTAGGCGAATTTGAATGATGGATGGACCGAGTCGGTCATTTCTTTTACCTTCTGAGAAACTCAAAGTGAAATTCATTCAAATAGGCTAAGTCTCAGTATTTAACACATTTGGTGTCTTTGTTGGAACACTGTATTACTACACATCTTCCGAATCTTCGTTCGACGATTTGAGCTTGTTTTACTCTAACAAATACGAAGTTGGTTTATGCCATTACTGCGCTTTAGTATTTCACACCATTAAGGTACAGGCCAAATATCATTATTTTAGGACACTTGGCTAAATTCCTAAGAAGTTGTTTAAAGGTGTGTGGTTTTGACAGTGAGTCAATGTCATTCATTCAACCTTGCTACCAGCCAAATATCATGACCCAGGCCTCTTGGATATTGAGAAAAAGGTTGTTCGTAAGTTTCAAGATATTTCAACCCCGTAAACTTGACAGAAGGTTAAGGTAATTCTTTTGAATCAGCTTGATATCCGTGAATCCAAACACGAAACAGGCAAACTAGCATTATCCCAGCCCCCTTAGTTATTCAGAAGATGCGTTTAAAGATTTGCACACATTGATCTGCTGTGTCATGATCATGAATGGATGAAATAATCTGCCTTCCATTTGCCCAAGCATCCTATGGGTCAAATAAAATGAATCAAGACCTCTTTGATATTCAGTAGTTATTTAAAGGTTTTCAGAGATTCAATGTCTTTCATGTCAGCAAAGTAATAACCAATGTGTCTTTGTTTCCTTGAAGAAGCCATATACAAACTTAAGATATCTGCCTTTGAAATCTGGCCATGGTAGTTCAATATCTTACAGGCTATATCGAACGACCATAGGTTTTTGGTTATTCTGAAGAAATTGTAGCTGAACACAGGCCAAGGTCATTTATTGAACAAACATAATAGCACCTGGTCACAGGAGACTACTGGCCGAATATCATGGACATTTGACAAATATATTATGACTCTTGGGCTATTATCAGTTCATTGGAAGAAGTTGTTCATATATTTTTTTCATTTGACCCCTGTGACATTTAAAGTAAGTCAATGTTATTTCTTTATGCAAATATTGTATTGCTTCATTAAGCAGGCTACTGGCCAAACGCTATGAATCTTGACCTGTTGGTTCTTCAGAAAAAACGATTTGAGCTTTCTGAAATTTTTTGACCTATGAAAATGAAAGTACATGTATGTCCAAAATCTTTTCATTTTGTAATCTGTTCATCACTCCATGACAGAAAGCTATTATCTAAACATCATCAATCTAGAACTAATGGTTCATCAGAAGAAGTTGATTTAAGTTGGGGTTTTCCTCGATATCTGACCCATCTTACCGATATCTGACCCATGTTACCGCAAAAATGAGTGAAGGTAAAGGGTACCACTGCAATAGTTTTAATTGGGAAAAAGATTCCACTCAGTAGGTATACAGTATGTATGCCTGTAACCTCTGAAGGAATATCAGTAAATCATGTTTCGAACAAGTACTAATTGTAATGGGAGACCATTACAGAAGTCCCCCAAACTGCCCCCATAGTCTCAAAGATGCACCAAAAAAGGATCACAATGGCATAAAACACCTTCATACTAAATTTTAGTGATATCAACAATATCTGAATTTCAACCAATCTGAAGCCTCCAAGTTGGTATGGCAAAAAAACCTATACAGTTGAATTTGCAGTCCTCTAATACCCCTATATACCAATTTTCATAAAAATCAAACAATATATAAATTTCGACCAATCAGAAGCCTCCGTGTAGTTGCTATATAGTTACTATGGCAACGAAACCTATGCAGTTAAATGTCAATCCCCTAATACCCCTATATACTAATTTTCATAAAAATCAAACAATTTCTAAATGTCGACTAATCAGAAGCTTCTGTGTGGTTGCTATGAGGTTGCTATGGCAATGAAACTTATGCGGTTGAATTCGCAGTCCCCTAATACCCCTATATACCATTTTTTTTTTGTATCAAAATCGAACAATATTCACCCTATAGTCGCAAAGGTGCATCAGAAAATGATCGCAATGCCTTTGTATACATACATACTCAATTTGAGTGAAATCGAACAATTACTAAATTGCGACCGATTGGAAGCCTCTGTGTGGTTGCTATGGCAACGAAGGTATGCAATTGGATTTGCAGTCCTATAATACCCCTATATATCGATTGTCATCAAAATCGACCACTATCTAAATTTCGACCAATCAGAAGCCTGTGTGGTTGATATGGCAACCTTTTTGCCATTTTACACCTACATACTAAATTTGAGTGAAATCGAACAATTTCTAAATTGTGACCAATTAGAAGCCTCTGTGTGGTTGCTATGGCAACGAAGGTATGCAATTGAATTTGCAGTCCCCTTATACCCCTGTAATCCAATTTTCACAAAAATAAAAAATATTTTAATTTCGACCAATCAGAAGCCAGTATATGGCGGCCATTTTGTCAAATTAGGAAACAAATGTCGCGGTTGAGTTTGCAATGCCATTTTACACAAACATACTAAATTGGAACGAAATCAAACAATAACAGAGTTTTGACCAATCAGTAACCAGTATTTGGCAGCCATTTTGTCTAATTAGAAAACAGACGTCATGATTGAGTTTGTGGTACCATCATACACCTACATGCCAAATTTGGAATGCATTGGAAAATATGTATAAAACATGTAAAATAGGATAGGTGACATTGGCTCTCTTTAGCGAAAACCTTAAGAAATTTTAAATCCCTAAAAATTCCAAAATTTTGTGGGGGCCATTTTGTTGACAATGTCAATTTTTTTATTCGACTTTAGAGCACGTCCTTTACCGATACTTTCCTCAAAATTTTATTTTGATGCGCCAAATATAACAAAAGTTATGGCTCAAAATGTTTTAGCCAATCAGAGGCTGTGGTGGCCATATTGAATGGTTATCGGAAAAACAAAAATGTGTTTTGCACATCTAGAGGCTATCAGTAATAATCACTCAAAGTTTGGTGAAGATCCGACTTCAAGTTTCTGAGAAAAGTGTCGGTACCCTTTACCGCAGAAAGTGGAAGAAGAAGAAAGAATAGTACTAATAATAAGAATCGGAATTAAAACAATAAGTTCCCAAACTTCGTTTGGTGGACTTACTTAAAGATCTACCACATGAGCAGATCTCAATTTCTTAAATGTCTGTCTCATGTCATTTTCTTACGGAGTGTGAACAAAATTACACATGAGCAAAATTAGAGTATTAAATCTTTGTAGCAGAGGATGGGAGATAACTCTACTTAAGTGTATTTTTTCCTTTGGGTTCGACGTCCTCTAACATTACAGGTACTTATTATTAAGACAGGAAAGCAGATAAAGATTTCTTTTGGTTTTGTAAATATATTTGAGGTAACATGCTCCAAAACTGTCTGAATTCCAAACTCCAGTGGTTGACTTTTCTAAATGAAACAACTAGAGAGACAAACAGCTGTTTAATCCTTTATTATAAGCCATATGAGCTGTTGGTTTTGATGCTTAAATATCAACAACAATAATAACATGAGTCTATAAATAGAATGATACAGATATATATGGGGATGAGATTCTATATATATGGCATTGAACATCGAAACAGGAAAGCTGACCGCCACTTCACCAATCAAAATCTCCTGTCAAGTCAACCTTTCATCATAAATCCTCGAAAGTTCCCTGCAGACAATGGCAAGCTTGAAGATATTTCTGAATTTTAAGATAATTAAAAGGAATACAGTGGTAGCTGTGAAACTTTTCTGTATTGTGACTAACAGAATCTTTTTATTTGCTCACATTTTGTTCTACCAAAATTTGAAAATATGTTAGAGTCTTATCAATGATAAATGTGAAAATGTTACTGCCTAATGCTTCACACTGCTTCCATACTTCAGTCATACAATGTGTAATTACCTGTAACCTCCTTGCACATTTTTTGTTTGAATTTTAACGCCTGCTGACATGGAACATCCAGATTTATGAAGGGGTTGTTATTCCTTCCCAAAAAATATGAATTTTAACAAAACATTTCCACCAATAATAACAAATACATATGTATTTTATTGTTCAGATTGTAGAAGATTTTTCATACAAATCTTGTACAATTATCTTTAAAAGACCACACTTAAAATAACAAGAGATGAAAATTGAAAGAATGACTCATTTTGTTAAGAAACACATTCAGGTATAAAATATATATGTATCAATACCATTGTGTAAGAAGTCAGACATTAAAAGACTTTAATTAATAATTTAAAATTAACATTTTCTTTTTTAAAAATCAACTTCTAAAAGTTCTATGAAACAGTCAATATAGATGATAAAAGATAAAATTAACTTTTGTTCTGAAGAAACCCAGAGGACGTTTATCACTTTTCTTTCAGTTCATTTGAAATCATAACAAGATGCTATTTTTCAAATTGATCACATATATGCATATTTTTCAACTTGTTCCATTTTTGGCGAAGTAGTTTTATAAAGACGTTTAAAAACTGATGACGACAGATTATGTATGACAGACATATGATCTTATCTTGAGTCAATCATAGGTTGATAAAAAAATATTTTTTTTCTAAGACAAAAGGAACACGAAACCCAACCAGTAATATCAAAGTAACAAACTAGGTACAACGTTATATATAAATATATATCATAATGCTCCCTCTTCCAGTGGTATATAATAAAATAGGGCGATTCCATCTAAAACAACCTGGTATAAATACTGATCATCAATTATTCTGTATCCTTTATCAATACAATTTTCAGTAGTTTATTATGTTTCATATAGTATGAGTTAACAGCCAAACAATTATCGTCTTCAATGTTACAAAAGGTTATTGCAATATAAGTTTTTTGATCCCCACTTACTTCAAAATCTCTAAATGTTACACTGACGATGATCGAATGTAATGCTTTGAGAATTATTATCCTCATGGAAACAAACATTGAAACTTTAAAACAGACTAAATTCAAAAGTTTGAACTGCATGCTATCAAAGAAATTTTGTTGACAAAAATGTTTAGGAACAATAAGAAACTGTTAATAACTTGAACTACAAATCTTAGAAAAAATACAACAATTTTCTGTAGGACTTTTCAAAAATAAGAAAAATGTGCGATTGGATGAAAGATGACAGAATATCACAAGTACATAGTATGGTGGAAACGGACTGACAGGAGTTATGTCCCTTTATAACAACACGCATATATACAAATGAAGTCGGTGTCAATGAATTGCCCCTAATATCCCAAAATTTTAAAAAAGGACAGTTCAATTAATATTAATTTTCGATGTAACAAAAACGAAATGTACTGCAAAACGCTATATTTGTTTTGTTATTTACATTTGATGACCCTATAAGAAATATATAGTAAATACATGAAACTTTTGAACTTGTCTACACGTTTTATTCCTGAATATTGATCTTTTTCTGCATTTTTTTTTTTTAAATATTGAAACTGTTTCATATGTTATAATTTATGATCCTAAATATGTATAAAATCTTTGTGAAATGTCCAATTTCTGGACCGAGCTATAACAAGCTTTCAAAAAATGTATCTTTTTGAACCCCAATTAATTTGCAAAACAAACAAATTTGAAGAACATATCATTTGACGGTTGTCATTTGAATCTAAGAACAGAATGTTTTTTATTTAACAATCTCATTTTTCGGGTGTAAGTTTTACAGTGGTGAAAGCCTGATACCACAAGATCTAGGGGACAACAAACCGAGGAATCCTGTGTTACAAATTTAATATATTATAATAATTATTTACTTTTTTCTTTTTTGTTCTTTGGATATACGTTATAAATTCCTTAAGAAATACTGTCACAAACGTTTTTACATGTACATTGATAATTTAAAACAAAAACATACAAATATTTATGGTTCACCTACATGTAATTGTAAGATGACTGATGCAACAAAAAAACTAAAAATGCACCATTTTAATATTTTGTTTATATAAACTTTAAAAGAAAATGTAGAAATTGTAATTTTCTTCATATGTATATATGTAATCAAGAATTCATTGGAACGAGTGAAGATGACTTGTATGTTAATTCACAGATGAAACAATGCTAGGTTAACTCTAAAAATAAACTCAAATATTTTCAGGCAAATTGAAAAAACAGGGATTTCATAATGTGAACATATATTCGTTAATCAAAACCTGTGATGTTGGATAATGTTGACTTTTTGGTGTATATTATTTCAAAAACAAAAAAAATAGCAAGATTTCTGAAGCCATCTCTGTGAAAAATGTTGAGAACTTTTATCATATCAATAACATGGACATTCTCATACTCATAAACTTTTTCTGTATTTTTAAAATACTTTAGTTCCAAAATAGGTTAGTCTCAGGATGACAAACTATTACACATATCAGTAATATCCTTTTTAATAAGAATTTAAGCAATTCTTTAAAATTTAAAGCAGCGTTTTTGTTTAAAAGGCTTCCGAAATTATAGTTCCAGTTAGTACTTCCTATATCATGAAGCAGTGCATTAATGTACATAGCAAGTTGTCATCAGATCCAGGTGTCTTTGAAGAAGCAGATTTCTTGGAGAGCACCTTTCACATCTAAAACTGATCATAAATAACATTGGTCTTTTGGCAATTTTAGCCAATAGACAAAATGTCTTTGACAAATAGATCCAATATTTGAAAATAAAGTAATAAGAAATCTGTTGCCTCTATAGGTGTGGATTTTGCCTGATACCCTGTCTCTCCCAGTCAATAAAGGATACCCTTCCAAATTACAATCAGATCACAGAAGGGTAGCAAAGCAGGTATAACCATAATTTTAGGGAGTCCAATCTCTAAAAATTCCCCCAACATAAATCGTTGGGTTATCTCCCTTCATATGTGCAGCGAAATATTCTAACTATTTGTTTAAGCTATTTATGGCAAACATTTGGAAAAAATGTATTCACTTTTTCTTTCAGACCTCAAATAGTTTACTCTCAATACATTCAATTTATATTTTTAACTTAAACTCAGGTTTTGATTTTACAATTTGATTCTTTTAGGCCTAAAATTCTTCCAATATATATGATGTATTTATCCTCGATCACCTTCAGGTGTTCGTATGAATGTATACTTATTGCACAACCCAGTAACATTTGATTTTAATGTTAAAGTCACTGAATCATCACTTGAAAAATTGAATTCTTCATACACCCAACTACAGACTGATGATTCGAAATCAAAACTTCCGAAAAAGAAAATGACAATATTTTACTGTCATAAATGATAACACTATATAAGATAATTAAAAAAAGGCTACCCTAAAACTGAAGTGAAAATTTTAAGAAGAAGATTTGAGCATCACCATAATAATGACCAGACTGAGTTCACAAACCATCTGTGTCACACACAGGTCACAATACTTGGGGTGTATGCATACAAGTACACACAAATAAATTAATTATAGATACAACTATTCGTTCAATGATAAAATGCCATAATGAAGCTTAATGAAGCATTGGCGATGAGAATATCACAAGTACCTGGAGACTGAGACATCAGGTTAAAAAGTGCGAAACAACATAGGTCCATTTACAAAACAAAATCCCGAAAAAATTGTTTCTATCACATTATGACAAGAAACAAAGCAAAATACTGGCATGCGAAAAATTAAATGGACATGTATGCGCAAGGCAGACTGACAACTTGTGGTGCTTAACATGGAAATGTACGAAATAAAAAAGTAACATTGAACAAAACAAAAATTGCCAAGTCAATGGAATTGATGAAATGTTATATTCACAAAATGTCTTGGTCAGATTAAGGCAAAGTAAATATAGATTGACACATTTCACATTTTCAGGATAGCACTGCATGCATAGTACCTGGTCATAGGACAGCACCACATGTGGTACCTGGTCATATGACAGCACCATATGTGGAACCTGGTCATAAGACAGCACCATATATGGTACCTGGTCATATGACAACACCTCATGTGGTACCTGGTCATATGACAACACCCCATACGGTACCTGGTCATATGACAGCACCATATGTGGAACCTAGTCATTATGTGATTAGTGCGCACTTGCTCGTTCAATTCATTGGTCCAGTTTTAAAAAACATCCAAAGGAAGTTATAGACATCCACTGTTAACTTACCAGATATAGTTACCTTCAGTGCCACATGCAGTAACTCAAGAGTGTCACATCTAGTTCCCCAGAATGCAACATGAAGTAATCCGGAATGCCAAATGTTGTTATTCGGAATGTCACATGTAGTTACCCTGAGTACCAGATGCAGTTACCTTGAGTGTCACATGTAGTCACCTGAAGTGTCACATGTGGATCCAATTCAGTCATGACCTACAGAGAACTGTCAGTCTCTGAGGCAAGGACCTGTGTCTTAATAAGCTCCACTCAATTACCCTTAAGTAGCTTGACCTCTTGAAAATTATTCATACAACAATCACAAGCAGAATGACAGAGTATGTCAATTATTTTTCCCTTGATTCACCTACATGGGTAATTCTGATCTCACTATATAAACAGTCTTTATCATTATACACCTGCTGGACAGGTAGATCATATCCATCCTTGCTTTATACCTGGAGGTGTCTTGCTCCAAACCTAACCATTTTGTTTGGACAGGTAAGTCCCATTGATCCTAGCTTTATACTGGGACATTTCTCTACTCTACACCTCACAAGTTTGTCTGGACAATTAAGTCATGTCCATTCTTGCTTTACACAGGGAGGATTTGTACCTGTTTATATCTCACCAGATTGTCTTGGACAGCTGGTAAATAATATCTATCATTGCTTTACATTGTCACAGGAAGCTTGTTTAATTACTTCGCACCTCAAAAGTTTGTTTCGGACAGGTGAGTGATCTGTCCTTTAACACATCTATCCTGTATATCTCGAAGAATAGGATAATTGTCCATAAATCTGTACCTTTCCTCATTCTGTCTGGACAGGTAAAAACAATCTCGTTACACACCTGTCCACCCATCTACCAGCCAAGGGTACAACCTAACACCCATAGGAACAATATATACCATGGAGAAGACTCTGGTAAACCTGTTCTACAGTTGTTTACATCCTTAAAAATGTTTATGTATTAACTTTCATTCAACGTGGCCACTAATCCAGAACATGTCTGGATCTATAAACCAGGGGAGTATTCATCCATTCTTAAGTAGTCAAAAAACTGATTGCCAGTGGACCTCATCACTTACTGATGGACTGCCAATAATCCCACCATGTCATCCGAAATGTATGTACCCATGCTATCCTTCTTAGCTCAAACATGAAGTATGGATTTCGCTCCCCAAAATTGTTTTTTGTTCAACAAGTGATAAAAAGTGGTATGGTCTGATCTTCCTAATTTCACTTTAGGGTAGTATCCCTTTCAGTTATTGTTGATTGATTATATCAAATATCAACACCACTCACTTCCAACCATACACTTTCAAGATGCTTCCTTTATTTGTTCATCAAACACTCAAATATGATTGTTTCTTTCCATCTTGAGTCGAAAAAACCTATCGGTCCAAAAAGTGAGGCAAAGATGGCAGGCACAGGTTAATACTTTTCAACTTCTCCATATATTCACAGATAGGAATGGACATGTGGGACTTCAATTTGCACTATCAGTAGCCACATATATCTCCACCTCCTTCTGCTGTTGTTTTTGGCGCATGGCAGCACGTTTTTCTGCAAGCATTCGTTTCCTTGCCTCTTCTCTGGCACGTGCTGCAGCTCTCATCTTCTCCGTTCTTTCTGGCGAGGACTCCGGTGTCTCCTTCACCTTCATTGCACGTCTCCGGGAACCTGTCAAGAAAAAACAACATTCAAATCATATTGACAATGAGCCAGTGTGTGATTATCTCCCTTACACTACACAAGAGGTGGTTGTAAATTAAAATGCCAGAAAAATTAGCTCATTGCTCAAGAGGACCTACAAAAACCATAGCAGAAATAAGCAGACATATTCTCAAATTGTCCTTAAAAAGGATGGGCTTGATTCCAAGTATATATGTAAAATACTAAACATGGTCTTATTATAGGTTCTTTGGTCTCACTTGTCATATATCAGCCTGCATCAGACAGTGCACAACTTACAAAACCATTTCCTATGGTTTGAATAATAGTTAAAAGATAGCACAATTTATAGTAGATTTCCTGTTGTTAAATTTAGTAAAATAAATGAATAAAAGCATATCATAAGCACAATTTTGGAAAAATCCAGTTTCAAACGTTAGATTAGCACTTACCGGGGGTACCAGAGGGAGTACTGGCATTACTGAGGGACAGACTTCCAGACTTTGGACTGGAGTTGACCGAGCTATTCTGTGACTGTAAAGATACAAAAAGGGAAACGTCAATGATACGGTTCTACTGACAATCTAAAGTTTTAACATTTATACAAAATAAAATCACATATCATATATTCTCCATCATAATTTCTATCAAATTCATTGCACAATGATTTTTGCAAATGTGATTCAAATTTAAAATGACTAATTTACGCTACAATTCAAATCCAGGAAATCAACAGCTAATATTTATCCCTTGTTAAAATGTTGTGAAAGATAAAAGACTAAGAGACTGACTAGCAAATACTGTAAACAGCATACCACAACTCCAAGTGGTGTCTGTCAAAGTCTAACAATAGAGAAGATATATAGCCATGGCAAAGAGTCACTCTGTGTTATACAACATAATCTGTACTTTGTGATGCAAAGTTCTGCATCACTTGCCAGAGTGTTCTCTAGAATTTTTTTCTGGAATACATTGAGCTTTGGCAATCCAGCCATTGATAATATGAGACTGTCCTTTAAATCACAGACTGGATAACTGATTACTGAAGATGTGGCTTGAATACAGAGGAACAACAGTACAACAAGATGGATTAAAAAGTTTTAAGAATATGGACAAGAGATCCTAAAGGGATCCTGTCGCCCACCATTGTACCATCTTCATTGATTTATGTCAGTTTGATCTTTTCTCTTCTTTCCTTTTATCTGATTGATCGAGTCATGTTAACAGTAAATGCATTGTTTCATGTATTAACTAGTACAGATTTTTAAATGTTAGAGAAATAGATCCAATCAGAAAGGACTCATTAGTACTTCCTATGGCCATCTACATATCAAATTTGAGAGAGATCCCTCCAGAAGTTCCTGAGAAATAGCGATAACAAACATTCACTGTCAAAATCCAAGATGGTCGCCTGTCGGCCATTTTGTTAATATGATCAGTCTCAAAAGTAAACATGCACAACTACAGACAAAGGGGAACCTTCATATCAAATTTGAGAAAGATCCCTCCTGTACTTTCTGAGAAATAGTGACAACAAGAATTGTTTAAGGACGGACAACGGACCACAGAGGAAGGGCGATTTGAATAGCCCACTGATAGTGGGCTAAAAATTTACAAAAGTTCTCATGACTATAAATATCTAAAGAGCAACCATCCCCTTACATGGGCAGTTGGTTCTTTCCAGCCATTTTGTCTTGATAATTCAATCTCTGCAAACATCCGATAGACACTGTCAATTTGGAGTTTGATCATGTCCCAGAATCCCTGGAGGTCCTCCACTTTCAGCAGTTTCTTATCCTCGGATGGTTCCTGAAGAGAACAACACAAACAGTTTGAAATTAATACAAGAAAACACCATTGTATTATTCAGTCAATCATATATAACAGAATGTAGTCTGGGAAAGCATATGCATGAAAGATCCTGTGACAGTTTACTTATTGACAGACTGACTCATATAAGTACAAGTACTGCTGTCATGAAACCTAGAAGCACCTTTATTGAACAAGAATTCCACCGAAGTGGATGTGTCGCCTGCGCAGGAAGCTGGGAGATTATGCTTAGCACTGCATGAAGTTTGAGTTTGATCGGCCCAAGGAAACTCAAGTTATCGCACAAAAACATATTTTCTATTTATAGTAATAGTGACCCTGACCTTTGACCTTCGGACCTGAAAAGCAATCCCAAGCAAGCACTTTTGGTGAGGAAGCACTGCATGAAGTTTGAGTTTGATCGGCCCAAGAAAACTCAAGTTATCGCATGAAAACCTCTGTAACGAGGCCGACATAGCAATACCTATGTGTCACCAGCTTTTCGCAGGCGACACAATAACATGTTATAAAGAATTAACCCTTTTGGAACTTCTATCTTGTGGTATAACCAATCCCTCCTGACATCTTTCTTATCTAAAATTTAAGATGTACAAAGAGGTGAAAACACCTGTAGTGAAACTATGACTTTACTGACATCAATGGGGCCATTTGGTCAGATATGACAGTGTGTCAATGAATTTAGGGTCAAATCAATAATGATCCGAAAGAAAAATTGATCCAATAATTCAATCGCAAACTATTATTTGAAGGAAATTTTTCACAACACTATGACGATTGCTTTTGACCCAGAAGCATTGATGTCTACAAATAGGTTCAATATTTTTTTTAAATTATACATAAAACTTTAATTTCACCATTTTCTCCCTGAACATAATTTTTTTAATAACAAACAGTTTGGCCATTTGTTTTGAAAGACTTCAGGGAAAAAAGACTAGGCAAAACACTTTTGTTTAATGAAAGGTTCTCCATTGATTCATGGGCGATTATCTTGTTTTTCTAAACTTGAGTTTTTTGATATTCAAATTAAAGAAAACAGCACAATGTCAAGTGAGTACCTTTTTTTTTTTTTTTTTTTTTTTTTTTAAATTTGATGAAAGATGTGAAACACACACACACACATTGCATACTTGTTACTGTTGAAGTATTATCTCCCCTATTTCAACATCTCTATGATATCAGACACAGCCCACTTATTTTCTCCCCTATTTCAACATCTCTATGATATCGAGACACAGCCCACTTACTATATGTTGCATACACAGGTCCTGGAACTGTTTACACTTCTGATTGACGAGCAGGTTGGCTTTTCCTATAGCTGCCCGGATCTTGCCGCTTGCTACAAATTGATCAGATGAACAATTATTTACTGAAGGTTTATCTACATACAACAACAGTAAAATATATGTTTTTAGTACATCTCATGGCTATAGGACATACATTAGCTTGCTGTAGACAGAATATCAAGTTTGATCTTCACAGACTAGTTTTTGTCCGAGGACAAATTTATGACTTCATTTAGCAGGAATTCAATGCTGTGTTCACAGCAAATATCATTTTAAAATTTCTGTACAACGTATCTGAGAAAACCGGTAGCTGTTAACATCAGTGACGACTTCATCATGACACATATGATATAAATCACACAAGATATTTGAAGTTTATATCTCAGAGGTATTTAATGTAGGACGTACGTTGACTGATTGAAATCTAAAAATCATAAAACTTTTGAAAGATGCACAATAGTGAAGATATTTGTGGGAAGATTGACTAATAGAATCTTCCCCTACCTTGAGGGTGTGACAGAGAAATCTCCAACTCGAGGGGTGATGTTTTGGTTGTCTAACCCAAGGCTCTCTGTCGAGGGTTAGACAACCAAAAACATCACCCCTCGAGTTGGAGATTTCTCTGTCACATCCTCAAGGTAGGGGATGATTATTTTTCTCCCTCCTATTATTTCAGTCACAGCTCCAACGACAGTAGTGTAATGTATCGTCATTCACTTTTGATGAAGTCACAATTACCGGTGACGCATTTTAATGACGTCGCAATTGAACACGTGCTAATCGGCACAAGGCTATCATCCCTAGGGGGTGACAAGCTGATCTTTCCCGGCTAAAAGGGGAGACACACCTGTGAAGGGTGGCAGACATTGCTGTGAATAGGCCAGGGTTCTCATATAAAGAGTCACTGTTTTGTTTGTGAACTTGTGGTTTTTGACTTTTAGCTGGAGGCTTGGAACATCCTATATGATGTCAACCATCTAACCTAAAAGATCACCTGCTGTATCTCTAAATCTAGATGGTCGACACTCGAAAGTTCTGAACTTCAATTATTAAAAGCCAGCAGCTTCAATGCTTATATTAGTATTAGTATACATGGTAATTTTCCTGCAAGTATAATTATAACAGCATCATGAGTTTGGTACAAAACAGTGGAGTGGGGTTAGATCTAGATGAACCAATTAAAACTCTTGAAACAGGATAAATTAAACCTGTATCCATTATTAATGGAGTCCTTACACCAAAAGAAGTATTACCTTCCTCTGGGAGCTCGCCACATTGCAGGTCCACCTCCACGTGTGCACAGTGGGATGATAAACTGTTCATTTCCAACTCTGTCAGTCGCAGGAAGTATGCCCCGTCCTGGAAGATAAAACAATAACAAAATCTTGAAAAGAAATTACTTAAGAGTGCTACAGCTTTCTGATTTCTTGTTTCATTTACAGAACTGTTACATGGTTACAGATGCTCGTATGCAAATGTTAGATTGGTTCCTCAACACAGATTCATAGATATAGTGTTCAATTCAAAGCTTACATGTACTTTTCCTGACAATCAGATTATTTTTAGCTTTTGATACAATTTTGACTATGCATACCCGGTATATGTTCATTAGTAATTTACAGGTAACAAAAGGAAGAGTGTTCTGCTGCCCATCCAGACACACCACAAGATGATGTCACAAAGAAGTATCGGGGTAAGCAGCGCCCCGAAATCTTCAGCAGAAACGGTTAAACACTAGCAAACAGTATTAAACACAAGATTTACATCTTTGAATAGTTGATGAAGCTGTACGAGTTATTTGGACTCTAGTGAACATTTTAAATTTACTATCTATTTTGAACATGTAATTTATATATGAATTGATCATTATTCTACTTACATAATTTTTAATTAACAAGTACAATTTTATACAATTTCTGAATAATTACTTTAGCGTATATCCTTTTTATTTACATCCTAAATTGCTATAATTTTCATCTTTTCATAATCAATATGGCCCCACCATGATATTAACTTCAATGATATAATAAAAGTTTCATTATCTATATTATTTTATAGTCTCTATGAGACCAATCGATGCTATAATTTCTAAGAAATTATTTTAAACGACACAATAAAATATTTGGCACTGGATCGCCCCAAACCACAAGATAAAAATTTGGTGCCAAAAGTCAGCTGACCAATCTTGAATTATTTGGACATTTGTTGCGGTGGCTGGGCAGGTCTGTTTGTGTATAGACATATGCATATGGTCACTTAGTGTTTTGTTGTAAGGAAAAATCAATATCACAATTGGTACATAATAACCAGGACAATTGAGTTACTTCTTCATGACAATGTGTATACATACACATCACTCACAAAGATTGAATTTCTATATAAAAGAACACGAAAAAGCTCTTTGTTTCTTAATGAATGATTGGTTGTCTGTTACAACTTTAGCTTATTTTCCCTAAATGGGTGTTGAAGTGGAAATGTGTTTTCCATGTTTTCCTAAAGAATGGTCATAGGCCAGCAAAACTATACATATTAGGGGAAATAACATTTCAGATCCTGATGCAGTAAATGTTCCAGCACTGGGGTTTATTGAGGAAATCTATGTGTGGTGGCACTAACTACAATCTACGTCACACTGTACAGGTTGAGGAAATCTACGTGTGGTGGCACTAACTACAATCTACGTCACACTGTTCATGTTGAGGAAAACTATGTGTGGTGGCACTTACTACAATCTATGTCACACTGTTCATGTTGAGGAAATCTATGTGTGGTGGCACTAACTACAATCTACGTGTGGTGGCACTAACTACAATCTATGTCACACTGTACATGTTGAGGAAATCTACGTGTGGTGCCACTAACTACAATCTATACGTCACACTGTACATGTTGAGGAAATCTATGTGTGGTGGCACTAACTACAATCTACGTGTGGTGGCACTAACTACAATCTATGTCACATTGTACATGTTGAGGAAATCTACTTGTGGTGGCACTAACTACAATCTACGTCACACTGTACATGTTGAGGTAATCTACGTGTGGTGGCACTAACTACAATCTACGTGTGGTGGCACTAACTACAATCTATGTCACACTGTACATGTTGAGGAAATCTACGTGTGGTGGCACTAACTATCATCTATGTCACACTGTACATGTTGAGGAAATCTACGTGTGGTGGCACTAACTACAATCTGTGGCACTAACTACAATCTATACGTCACACTGTACATGTTGACAACTCTAAACTCTTGGTATGACCATAAGTACACATTTATCAGAACAGTATAAATAATAGATTTTTTTATTAAAATATGACTCTCTCAAATCGCTCCTTAATCATCTGTGATCATGAGCTCAATGATATATTGATGAATCAGGACATGTATTATTATTATTATTTTTTTTTTTAAACCAACAAAATGTTTTTTTATAGGGAAAACAAAGCATTGCTTTATACCGGTCATCCACATTGATTAAACTGGGCACTTTTTCATGAAACTGTTCTCATGCTCAAGTATGGATTCTGTGCTCAAACCAACTTTCTTGCGATTCGCTTAAATCACGTGACACAGTGAAAAATAAAGTGTAAACATTTAAACTGTGATCAGGTTGAGTTGTCTTAAAAATTCTTGCAAATCATTGACAAAATCTGTTTCTTAATTTATTCTTATCACCAGAACAAGAGATTTGACTTGATCACAAAACGTGAGTTTGAGCATGAAGTTGCCAGACCTATATTTTTATAGTAAATATTGAAAAATTTCTCAAGCCAACATAAGAACTACTAGCCTCTGGTATTGGTCTAGTGAAATTGTACACCCAACAGGCCATGATAACTCCTCTATAATTCAGTAACAGTTTCCTTTGGTATTGATCTCATGAATATCGCATAATTCTACTTTCTATTTTCTATAAATATAAGATCATATCAATAAATTATTATGGGATACCTAATCAATTGATATTTTAAACCTCTAGCCAAAAAAGTATGAAAATATTAACTAAAGTATTCTTTTTCAATATCCAGACAAGAACTGTATTGTAAATTATATGAAAGGTCATCTAGTTTGAGTTTTACAAACTGAACAACTCTGTCATTTCATTTAATGTTGTGACTAACTCCTGGTGTTTGTGCATTGTCTGATGAAGGTGTGTGAAAAATTTACCAGAACAATCCTGTTCTTGTTAAAGGTGGAATAAGGGTATTGGTATTTATACGTATCAAATCTCAATCATAGAAAATCTATACATGACTCAACTAAAACCTGGTATACATTATGAGAAATCCTGTAAACTGTAAATATATATTTTTTAGTATCTACATGAACACTATAATGATCAGTTACATCGGAAGGTGATATTCAGCTATAGATAGCTATATAGGGACTGTTTGACATTCAGTTCTGATGTAGACCCAGACAGGTTATCATTCCGTATACAGAAAGGCCCTATAGCTGTCATCGACTGTACATGTTACATATGTATATAGTCCTGATAAAAACTAAGTAATATATAGGATAATTACCACAGGATATATATGCTCTTGTAACCTTTACATGTTACAAGTTGTGCCTAAATAATCTCCCTTAAATAATTGTTAACACATTCAAAATGAATATATAGTCATATGATCCTTCCCAATCCCTTACAATAAAACACACCTTTATTTTTTGATAATTTATATTCTCTTCATGACCAACAACACTCATTTCTCCCCAATTAGCTGCATGGGCCTCATATAGTCAAACCAAATGCATAACACAATGTATTGCCAAAGCCATTTAAACAATAAATATAGTGAATTCAGCTTTTTCTAGAGCAGGTACACTTGAAAACTGGCTGAAGTGTTGGATCATACATTAAGATCGCTGGTGCTAGAATTAACTTCCCATACAACTATTTTTGGCTACACATCAAGAAATATAAGTGTGATTGAACCCTATAGTCATGCCCAGCAAGTCGTCGAGCCAGAGTTTATACATTGTGGTGTTTTGTAGGCGCTGGTCTGAGGGTATCTACCTTGTAAGTAACTGGTAAATAACAATGAAGGTGCCAAATGTTCAGGGTCACTCAAATGTATTTTAAACAAAATGGCTGTCTGTTTCAAAATGATGAAGTCTTTTGCTGCTTCGTTTGGATTCCCTTGTTTTTACTATACAATTATTGAGTCATGATACCGATGCTTTAATTAAAGGTAACGATTCCAAAGTAAGATCAGAGCAGAAATTCAAGATACCGTAATATCCATCAAAATCCAAATTCATCAAAATCAAAAATAAAAGTCTTCATAATTTTGTTGAAAGTATTTTTTTTGGCAGACATTTTCTGTTTTTGCAAAAAGTCTTTAAAAATATACTGCCATTCCTATTTGATGAAATTCCTGTAAAAACCTATTCCACAAATATCATACTGATTTCCTAAACATTTAAAGCTTAAAAAAGTTGGATGGATTTGTAAAGAGCTTCCAGCGTATATATAGATAGGAATATTAAATCCTGGATTAGGCATCTTGTGTACATGTATAAGTAGGACTGTACAGGTACAAGTTACATTAGTATGTTTGAGGCCAGACTTTAGAATCCAGTTACATAGCTGACATATTTTGTTTTATCTGTAATATGATTGTAGATCAATACCTATAGCTATAGACAACACAGGACAGGTCAGTCCTCTGGTTATCAGCACCCTACATGTCAAAAGCATAGTCAGCTTCACAATATCAAATCCAGAAAAAGTACATGACTATCAGTAAAATTTATGTACTATTTTTAATATTAACTGTCTCACTGGTTTTTTTTAATTTGAACAAATGAAGATTTTGAAATGAATTCTGATATTTATAAAATGATAATAAGCAAAGTGGTCTTACATTTCAAGCAAACAGTGCACAACGTCAACTTGCAGAGCAGATAATTCATTATCATTTCTCTTTCATTTACTTAGCCTTGTTAGTTTTTCAACGAAATCTAGAAAAAATTGCATCCATCAATTGGATATTCAAATTTTGACTGACATGTAAGTTCACCAAAACTGGATGTTTTGAGAGTCATATTTAAGAAAATTATAAAACCCCATCATTGGGTCGACTGATGAAAACAATTATAATTTTGAAGTTGTGCAGTAAATGAAGCTTACTGTACACCTTGACTGACTTCTAGTGCTGACAGGTCTGTGATCTACTGTATTGTCCTGGGTCATGTCTAACAATATCATCACAAAGTGATTGTAATTTACGGTGAATACACACAGACAGGGATGTGATATATAACTGTGACCTACATCTGTACATTACTGTAATAACACCCATTAATTTAGCACTTTCTGGGTTCATATATATACAACAGAAATACCTCCATAACTCATTGCTGTTGATATGCACATATTGAGACCTAAATAGCACAGATAAAACAATAGAATAATCATCGCAGAGTGATTAATTATTCAGGGGCCCTGATGATTTAGTGTTACAATCCCACTTATCATAGATAGGATTCATTCTCAGGTTGTACATCACCAAAAGCAACACACCCGCAGGAGAAATACAGGTAGCTAGCCACACCCATAGGGCAAATACAGGTAGCTAGCCACACCCACAGGGCAAATACAGGTAGCTAGCCACACCCACAGGGCAAATACATATAGCTAGCCACACCCACAGGGAAAATACAGGTAACTAGCCACACCCACAGGGGGAATACAGGTAGCTAGCCATACCCACAGAAGAAATCACATGTAAACGTAGAGGGGGAATGTAGGCAGCTAGCCACACTCGCAGGCCTAGGGTACATACATGTTACTAGCCTCGCTTATAGGGCAAATACAGGTAGCTAGCCACACCCACAGGGGGATTACAGGTAGCTAGTCACACCCACAGGGGAAATAAAGGTAACTAGCCACACCCGCAGAAGAAATCACATGTAAACGTAGAGGGGGAATGTAGGCAGCTAGCCACACTCGCAGGCCTAGGGTACATACATGTTACTAGCCTCACTTATAGGGGAAATACAGGCAGCTAGCCACACCCACAGAGGAAATATACATGTATACGTAACTAGCCACACTGACGAGGGAAATGCAGGTACTTATAGCTACACCCTCAGGGTAAACAGGTAGCTAGCTTATAGCTAGCCACACTTAAAGGGGAAATACAGGTACTTATAGCTACGCCCTCAGGGGAAAACAGGTAGCTAGTTTATCGCTAGCCACACTTACAGGGGAAATACAGGAACTGATAGCTACACCCTCAGGGGAAAACATGCAGCTAGCTTATAGCTAGCCACACTTCCAGGGAAAATACAGGTACTTAGCTATACCCTCAGGGGAAAACAGGTAGCTAGTTTATCGCTAGCCACACTTACAGGGGAAATACAGGAACTTATAGCTACACCCTTAGGGGAATACAGGTAGCTAGCTTATAGCTAGCCACACTTACATGGGAAATACAGGTACTTATAGCTACAGCCTCAGGGGAAAACAGGTAGCTAGCTTATAGCTAGCCACCCTTACAGGGGAAATACAGGTACTTAGCTATACCCTCAGGGTAAAACAGGTAGCTAGCTTATAGCTAGCTACACTTACAGGGGAAATACAGGAACTTATAGCTACACCCTCAGGGGAAACAGGGAGCTAGCTTATAGCTAGCCACACTTACAGAGGAAATACAGGTACTTATAGCTACAGCCTCAGGGGAAAACAGGTAGCTAGCTTAAAGCTAGCCACACTTACAGGGGAAATACAGGCACTTATAGCTACACCCTCAGGGGAAAACATGCAGCTAGCTTATAGCTAGCCACACTTCCAGGGAAAATACAGGTACTTAGCTACAGCCTTAGGGGAAAACAGGTAGCTAGCTTATCGCTAGCCACACTTACAGGGGAAATACAGGTACTTATAGCTACACCCTTAGGGGAATACAGGTAGATAGCCACACCAACAAGGGAAATACATATATAACTAAGTAAAACTAAAGGGAATTGTTGGTATTAATTAAAAATCGCTATTTGCATATTACATTTGTTTAAACATGTCTTTAATTTTCAGCCTATGTATACACAAGTTTTTTCCCTACAAATAAAACAAAACATTTTTTTGCCATTAAATTATTAACAAATTTACATGCAATTTCTGCCAAACATTTTTGATCAAAACTTAATGTTTTTCAATGTAGCTAACTTGTGACTTATGGCTTATTAAAAATGCAATTCCATAAAAGATCTCTAGCATAAATAATATGTAACCTATAGTACACATTCATGACTTATGCAGATGACTTCTATAAATATACCGCATGTGACCTACTTATGGGGATGACCCACTTACAAAGGTTATGAATTATCTGCCAAATCAATGGATATATCAACCACTTCCAGCCTTACCAGTTTTGGGTCCCCAGTTGGATATCTTTCATCTGATAATATATGTCCATTTTCCATTCCATTACAGTCCCCATTGGACACACCATTACACAATTCCTCTCCGTTGAGTAGGTCGCCATGACTACCAAGTGATGACGTCACTGACAAGGGCTGTGGCGAAATTAATCCAAATTCGTAACCGCACTCACTACTAGTCCTTCGCACATCAGGGGAAGTAACTTTTGTCACAGGCATTGTATCTGGTGACAGTAAGTCCGACCGTGACGATGATACACTTGAATATGGTGAGCGTTTCTCTATGTCGCGATAGGATGAGTATTGACTGTATTTACCGTAGCCACTTACAGCACAACTCAGCTTTAGATAAGATGGTGACTTAGTACACTCCTGTAAAGGGAGGTCACCGCTGTCTGCAAGCTTTGGCATGCTGCTGATGTTAAGTCCATTGTCGTTAGTTGGTTCGCTCTGTGTGCGCCGTCCCGATTTTACAGCAGGAATTGCTGGCGTGCTGGCCGCCAATGGACTGAGGGGTCGCTCTGAGGTCAAGGTCAAGATATTATCGCCATGGTGTCCTATGTGGCCATCAACAGCATCAGTCGTACTAAGCGACGGTTCACTCACTGAAATGAAACGAAACAAGATTAAATATTGACTTCACAAGTCCAGGTGGGAGAGATGAACAAGGATGAAGATGGCTGTAAACCATACCTGGCACTAAACCTGCTGTAGTCATGCAATGTGCCGACAAACAGGTAAATCACGAAATCCATTAAACACTTACTCGGAGCCAATTTTCTGTATGTAGCAGTCTGTATGCTAAGCCATGCAAAGTTACTATGCCAAAAATGTGTGATAATTTTAGCTCAAGTACGGAAAATAAAACCTGCAGTGAGAAATATCAGGAAATTCTAGACATGATATTTGATTTGCTGAGATTGACTATATATATATATACACATACACCAGGCGTATTGTAGTTAATCAGATTTATTGTCACACCATCCAGTATCAAAACACAAGTATAATGATGTAGACATATTGAATAATTTAAGTAGGCTGTTGATGGAGGTTAAATCTCTTCATTATGGTAATTATAAATATGCTTTAAACAGAGCAGGTTTTCTTCACAACAATATAGTTATTTAATGCCAGGCTTAACCACTCCCATGACCTATTTGCTAAGATACATTGTTAGTTAGCTACATAAACTGAAAAAAATAGCAAAATAATTTGCATTTCTGATTGTGACCATTTGGAATCAAAACAGCGATGCCTCTGCTATACAAGAAATTGTACACAAAACATTATTCTGCAGAAGTTACTTCCAATGTTACGTTCATAAGGAATATCAAACAACTTGCTTCTCGTGTTATGATGCAAATAACATTCCGTGTTTATAAGAAATTCTATAGAATTATCTTGCTTGTTCCCACTAAATCACATTTAATTTGCAAAAGTTGTAAAATCAAAGTGCCTTGACCAAAACATTTTAGGTATTTCCTACTGTTATACTGCCATTTCCTCAGTAATTATAAAGTTCCTATCTAGCATCACACAGCAGTAACCAGAAGGAAGTGATCGTACAGGTCAAGTTCAGCATAAACATGTACCTATACATTAAACATTAACCTTTCTAGGGTACACTTTACTGTAACCACGAAAATCACTCCAGTAATATTACTCTAACATTAAACTTTCTTGGGTATACTTTACTGTAACCACGAAAAATCACTCCAGTAATATTTCTCTAACATTAACCTTTCTTGGGTACACTTTACTGTAACCACGAAACTCACTCCAGTAATATTACTCTAACATTAACCTTTCTTGGGTACACTTTAATGTAACCTCGAAAATCACTCCAGTAATATTACTCTAACATTAATCTTTCTTGGGTACACTTTACTGTAACCTCGAAAATCACTCCAGTAATATTACTCTAACATTAACCTTTCTTGGGTACACTTTAATGTAAACTCGAAAATAACTACAGTAATATTACTCTAACATTAAACTTTCTTGGGTATACTTTACTGTAACCACGAAAATCACTCCAGCTATATTACTCTAACATTAACCTTTCTTGGGTACACTTTACTGTAACCGAGAAAATCACTCCAGTAATATTACTCTAAGAATGTTTCAGGCTATACACTAGTAAACAAAATGTTTCGTATCAATGCGAGTTTGTCTACTCAATTTTTGCATCAGATAAAACAGAAAGTATCTTGTTGATAATTACTACTGTAGATCACAGAAGATATCTGAACAGGTTGTTATATATTTTTGTATACCAACATACCCTCCACATAGTAGCGTTACTCTACAAACATCAATGAACATAGCCGGCATCTCTACAAAGCTTCTATAATCACTGCATTCATAAACTATACAGGTCATTCATAGTATTTGAAAAAATTAAGGGAAATGATGGAAGTCAAATCTAATTCACTCACTCAATTACTTTTACAATTTCATGATCAATTGCAATCGGCATTTTTTTTCCATTTTTTTTTCTCCAAGAAAATTATGATTCATGTTTAGAATATGTAAATAGCAGACAAATCATTGATCTCAACAGGTGATGAGAGATAATTAGCGAGGAGGAAGGAATGACAAACAGTCATGCGATCCTGAAGCTGCAACATGTGTAGAGGACAATGAGAGACACCCTGGCACCAGGTTTAGTTTGGTCCCCACACTGGACAGACACATTAACACTGACTTCGTTTTATCACATTTCATCCAACAGTACAGCATATGTTATATAAATGGGCAGTTTAAAGTTGATCACTGAGCTAGCCAGCCATCTAATATTACATGTATACAATCAAGAGATCAAACAACTGAAAACTCTAGCATGCAAACATGGATCAGCGTTGGTAGTTTACTGTAGTATAAAACCTATTATTTAGTATTAAGCACTTAGCTTGTTCCAATAGCAAATAACTATTTTGAATTTTCGCTAATGAATATTCATTTGTTTAAAGATTTTTGATAATTAGAATTGCAAATTAATGAAATCAATTTTGTATCAATGAACATATAGTAGGCAAAACGGGCCAGAACTAATTTGCAAGTTTATACAGTACACTATACTGATTTAGAGCTCATGATCATTAAGACAGTATATTGTGAAGTCAAAACCAAGATAATAGATTTGTGGGGTCACCTAAAAACCTAGATATATACTATATAGCTCTTGTTGACTAAATTGTGGGGTCACCTTAAAAACCTAGATATATATTACTATGTCTATTATTGAAATATACAAGAATCATTATTTTACATCATAAATGAGTAACATCCAACAGTAGAGCTATTATTATAAGGATGAAAATGATATATATCACCTCTTTTTTGGCTATAGATTACATTTTCCTTATTTTAATTATCTGTTTCATCTTTGACCCTGTTATAACTCCACTTCCATTTCATCTTAGAGCCCCCTTACCCCTCCCATCTTAAGTTAATGTGTCCCTCCCTGGACATGACACTGTCTACACACATAAACACAGACTCATTATCTGTATGAATCAGTGTACAGTACAAATAAACATCCTTACAACAATAACAGACTGACCATCATCTCCAGGCACGAGTTGGCAGTAGATCACAACAGTCGGTCACCATTTATTATACTGTATATCTGACAAACATACACAGACCATATAATTGAATTACATACTCCCATTATTTCTAGGAAGCCATGCCAACATTATAATCACCCTTTACTCCTGTGGTGATATTCGCCCTGTGTAGCACTGCCCTCCACATGACAGTGTACTCACATTTCACAAGTAGGCCTTGAAAACTTGACCTTTATAAGTATATCCTATTTAATCTGACCCATTAAACTGATAAAAAGAAGTATTTCTCCAGTTGAATTAAGAGCAGTTTTCCATTGCAATAACAAGTTTACTGCATTACTGCTGAAATCATTATTCTTTTCCTACAGAAACTCATTAGTTTTAGACAAACTATTCCTCTGAAAATAAAATCTGCAAGAAAGTCTAAAAGACTTTTTAATCAATATGAAGCAATTTGCTTTGATGAGCAGGCCTAGGTTTAGTTTTAAATGTTAATTTCAAAATCCTTTTATAAAATCTGAGTGGATTATACTTGGTAGGAATAAACATTAAGGTACCGAACAACTTCCTAATGGCTCTAGCCTTCTAGATTATGTTCACCGAATCTGTCCGCAACCAACATTACCTTGAACATAGCAGTTTGTAAAAGTGCCAGAAATTCACTGGAAAAACTTATCTGTATCAGTCAAGGAAGTACAAGTACTCTCACCCAAACACCATTAACAGTGGAAACCATCATAGTGTACGTGTGTATATATATTTATATATAAATATTTTAGTTTTACTACGTCAAAGTACTGTTTGAGATGATTGTCACTTTTATAAAGCTATATGTCATCCCCAATTTCTCCCTCAAATCAAAACAAATTCAAAAGGGCTCACAAAATGTATATACTATTTCCAAATCACTTCCTTATGAATATTAATTTAACTTTCTGAAAATCTTTGAATATTACAACTGACGTGCAAATGTTTAAGTTAAAACTAATACATCTGACAACGAATATCACTACCCATTTACAAATTATATATTTTTTGTAATTTCAGGTGAGATTGTTTTCCTTGTAATTTTTAGCATGCTATAAAATTTCTTCCAACACATTTTTTGTAACCCTTATTTTACTCTTCTTTTTAATGTGTTTTATTCATTTTGTACCGAGAAAGTGTTCCTAATGTGAGCAGATCCAGTTAACCATAAGGTACAAATGAGAACATATCAATGTTGAAAGAAGCCATCAATGAAAATGTAGACGTGTTTACTATAAAATCAGCAATGTATGTTTTCAGTAAACCACCAACGTACCACACAGTACACCATCAATGCATACTTTTACAGTAAAACGAGCAATGTACTCAGCAGCTACTACAGTAACACGAGCAATGTACTCAGCAGCTACTACAGTAACATGTTAGCATCAATGAATGTACAATGTTTACTGTGTAATGGCATATATAGATTATTGGTGAATCATCCACGACAATTCCTGCCACATATTCTGTTTATAGTAAATACCTGGTGAATCATCGTTAGAAAACTGCTAATCCTAGAATCAATCTGCTGAATACACACCTTGTAAGATTACATTACAAATAGATTCTGTCACCCGCATTATTACCCACACACAAAACAAGTACCAAGAACCTCGACATTCTGAGTGGCAATGTAAATTCAAACATGTTCATTGCAAATCCTTATTTTTTAATTTTAGCTTGTGAACAGCTAGCTTACACGAAAATAGGAACCAGATCAACAAGCTATAATCTAAAGGGAGTATTTTGTACACCTACACTTCCTCAGGCCAACAGGAAGTCAACTGTTCACCAGATTTGTTGGTTTACAATAGAGTTGTCAATTACGACCAATCTGTTTTAATTTATACTACAATATGAAACCAGTAAATCTGTATAATTATATAGCTATAACGTTATAATTGGTTAACCATATGGCCGTTTTCCTATAAGTGTAAGATTTCAAACATAAGAATTCTGATCTTCATTAAAGTGGAATCAGACAGAGCCAACAGTGACCA